CTAAGGTATTTTCTATTAAGTTAGGAATAATTACTATAAGGGATTTTATTAAAGTTAAATTATTAATAGTATTTCTAAGAGTTAGTAGACTAGAGCTACTATAGTTTAGATTAATCCTTTATAAGGGGTTTTAAACCTTTCTAGGAATTAAGTATTATATATTTACTTAATCTAGATATACTACTAGATAGGATATTTATTATTATTAAGGATATAGAGTCTTTAAAAAGTATAAGGGTAGGGGGTAGGCTAGCAGCTGCCCTATATATATTTTATTAACTTTAAGAGATTCTAGTCTTCTTTTATATTTTAACCTAAGCTAAGAATAAATATAAGGTCTAACTAACTACATAAATAGTAATAATAATTACTAGATATTATTATACATCTGATAGACTTCCCCAAAGTCATATACATGCAGGTCGATATCACAATATTATTATTAATGATAAAACCATTCCATATAAACTCTAGGGTGAAATTATAAAGAGAGTTATTCTAATYAAGAATATCTTACCTATTTAAGGTAAGAATATAACTCTATATAAAATATACTTTAGTAAATATCTAGATATTAGCTCTCTATAGATCTTAGGTTTAGTTAGATATCTTACTATTACTAATAAAATTAAATCTAAGTAGGGTATTATAAAGATTAATCTATATACTATTTATTACTATTTAGTTAGCTACACTAGCTTAGGTAAGTAATATATTATTTAGATACTAGTAACTAATAAAGTTAAATATATCTATAATATTATTTTTAAAGAAGGAAGTGATCTAGATCTCTATAGTAATCTAGATAATAATTATAGTAAATTTATTAATTTACTAGCCATTCCACCTACTGACCATAATCTAAATAAGGTTATTAGTAATAATAATTTAGATTAAGATATTATTAAAGGCTAGGATCTAACTATACCTAATCTACCTAGACTAGAGGACAGCATCCCTATACTATAAATATATATAGAGGTAGGTCCTAGTATTACTAAGGATAGTAACTTCCTATATAGAGGCCTTTTTAGTAAGCTAGTAGAAGACCTTCTAGAATATTTCTAGCTAGAAGTAATTTAGCTTATAGAATAGGGGGTGTATTATATTAATACTAAGGCTATAGAAAAGTATATATAGAATTATATTATTATTAGGTATATATATATTAGTAATAATTATACTAATATTATTAAGCCTTCTTTCTTTTATAAGGTGATTAACTCTCCTAAAGTAGATAATTAGTAGAATATTATAAAAGTAGAAGTAGATAATCTTATTAAGTAAGATATCTAGGTACTTAAGGTCCTACCTACTAGCTATAAGATTATTAAGGGGTATTAGGTCTATAAGATTAAGATTAGTACTAATAATAAGATTATCTAATTTAAGATAAGATAGGTTACTAAAGACTATATCTAAATATCTAGAGTAGACTTTAACTAGATATTTTTCTCTACTATAAAGCTAGCTACTATCTATCTATTCTTTATACTTATAGCTATCTTAGGCTATTATTATATTAAGATAGATATTAAGCTTACTTTCCTATAGGGTAAATTCTTTAATAGTAAAGTTATCTATATAAAGTAGCTACTAGATTTTAATAATAAGTCTAGCTATATATATAGACTATTACTTCCTTTATATAGATTAAAGTAGTCTATATATGCCTAGTATCTTATCTTCTATAGTAGAGTTACTAAGATTAGATTATAGCTATCTAAGATTAATAAATACCTCTTCTTTAATACCTATAGTATACTCCTTATCTTATATATTAATAATATAGAGATTACTAGACCTTCTAAGCAGATTACTAAGGGGGTRTATAAGGCTATTAGTAAACTATTTAATATTTTATTTATTAGCCTAGCTACCTATTATCTAGGCATGAAGATAGACCTAGATATTAAGAAAAGATAGATTAAGCTATCTTAATATACTTATCTTTAATATTTTATTAATATATTTAATCTATATTTAGTTAAAACTATAGTAATGCCTATAGAAGAAGGTGCTTAGCTAGTTAAATTAGATAAGTCTATTAGATATAATCTTAAACTTAAAGAGAGATATAGAGCAGGAGTTAGCTTAATTATATATCTAATACTATAGATTAGGCTAGATACTGCCTTTACTATTAAGAAGCTAGCTAGATATACTATAAATCCTAATAAATTATATTTTAAGTATCTTATTTATCTTATTTAATTCTTCTATTAAACCCTAGATATTAGAATTATCTATAAGCCTTATAATATAAAAGATATTATATATAAGCTAGGTATTATTATTAGCTATATTAATATAAATTATATAAGATATATTAATACACACTATTTAACTACTAGATATATCTTTATATTTAGTAATAGGCCTATCTTATAGGCTTCTAAGCTATAATTAGTTATCTCTTTATCTATATATAAGGCTAAATATATTATTATTATTTATATTATAAAGGAAGCTATCTAGCTTACTTATCTTCTTAAAGATATTAGCTTTAATAGTATATACCCTATACAGATTAATACTAATAGCTAGCTTACTATAGACCTAGCCTATAATACTTAATTCTATGCTTACAGTAAGTATATTAATATTAATTATTATTAGATTAGAGATATAATAGTTAAGAAGTAGGTCTTCCTATAGCATCTTTTAATAGATAAGATAATTATAGATCTTATAATAAAGCTACTTAGTTATCTAAAGTTTAATTAATTCTTTAAGGTGCTAGGCTTAGCCTAGTAAAGTACTATAAATAGTAGATCTTAATACTATAATTATAGATTAACTACCTAATTAGGAAGTGGCTATGACCTCATTAATTAAATCTAGGGGTGTGTAGCTATACTTAGTATAGTAGAGATCTAATCACATAATCTCACTTAGTAGATAGCTCCTTCTAGGCTGGCCGTTGGGAAGGGAAGGGAATTCCCATGGGAGTCCTATAGCTAGTTCCCTTCCCTTTTTACCCTTAGTAGTGGGAATCCCATCCTAACCCCTTAGATAAATGGGATTCCCATTTCCCTATCCCTTAGATATATAGGATTCCCTAATTAATATGGGAATCCTATATTAATTTCCTATCCTATTCCTACTAAAGGATTAGGGATCCCATCCCATCTAGATAAGAATGGGAAATCCCATGGGAATCCTAAAATAAGATAGGAAATCCCATGGGAATCCTAAACTATCCCAAACCTTAAATTATAGGGTAAAAATAGGGTAGAATAGATAATATAGCCCTAAAAATAGGCTATATTAGGGGTATATTATCTATTTTACCCYACTTTTACCCTATATATTAAGGTTTAGGATTCCCATRGGATTTCCCTTCCYATTCTAATATTACCCTATGGGAATCCCATCCTAATCCCTTAGATAATTRGGATTCCYATTTCCCTATCCCTTAGATATATGGGATTCCTATATTAATTAGGGAATCCYATATTAATTTCCCATCCCATTCCTACTAAAGGATTAGGGATCCCATCCCATCTAGATAAGAATGGGAAATCCCATGGGAATCCCAAAATGGGATGGGAAATTAATATGGGATACCCATTTCCCAATGGGAAGGGATTTCCCATGGGATTTCCCTTCCCTACGGCCAGCCTAGCTCCTTCCACTGTATAATAGTAAATATAGATTTACACACATAATGAATTAATGAAATATCTTAATATTCTGAACCTCTCTCTGCTCATTCTACATGTATCTTATATCTCATTGTACCATGAATCCCCCTTATACGTGGCATAAGCGCATTCGAATAAATAGGAAATTATGAGTTTCGAGTCCTGAGTATGCCTTTCAAAAGGTCTCCGCCGTGGAGATATATATTATAGTCTCCAACACACAAGCACCGTCACATTGAAGTCGAACTGAGAAAATACGCAAGACCGTACATGCACGTCAATCGTGTCAAGAAAGTCAGAGATAGTGTAGAAGTTATCAATCTACACTTACTACCGAGACTGTCTGAACATTGACAATCAGTACAAACTAATGTGAATCCGAAAACGTACCCATACACCAACCAAGCTAAAAAGACCTCAGATAGTGAACAAGTAGTAATCGACCTTGGTTTAGGAATCTATCCTGGAGATGAGAGAACAAAGAAGAACGGCCACTTTGAAGCTCCTAAGGCACTTCGGTAGTGTATATTTCTGAGTTGAAGGAAGACGGAAAAGGGCAAGGAAAAGAAGGGTATGGTGACAAGATATTTGGCCCATGATCGGACCAAGAGCAACAGCTATGGAGAGTGAAGAATAGTAACAACGGTACAACAGACCAGGACGACCAGTGGTGGGGTCAGGGTAGGTTGACGGCGATGGAGGAAAATATACCGAGATGGAGAAGTAGGAAGAAAATAGGACTGGCAGACGAACTCTTTCGTGGAGAAGCAGTTCTAGAAGCCAGCCAGAATTCATACTTAAAATATCAGGCTCCCTGCTGCCTGTCTCCAACATCATTACCTTTACTTCTTGCAGTCGAGATACGGCCTGTTGCGACTCCTGTAATCTTCCATCTCAAGGAAATGACCCGGGGAGAAAGCTCATTGCAAGAATTTTTTAGAAGGGAAGAAGTATGATAATAGAATCATTACTGACATATTCGGTATCGAGGATCTATAACTCTTCGAAATCAGGACGGCACTTTGAGTACAAAATGCGAAACAGAGACGCTTTTTTTTTTTTTTTTAATCTTTTTCTTCTTCCTTCCGTGGACCCAGAGAGATAATGGTATAAGCTCGTCAGAAATGCGTTTTGAGGATAAGATACGATACACATCGCCAGTTGCCACAAGAAAGCCATCGAAGGAAAAATGCTGAAAATCCAGATGTTGGGGGTCGTCTCCCCGGATATTCTGTCCCTCAAGCTATCACTTCATTGGTCATCGTCCGTAATTACAGAATCATCTCATTAACGCCGAAGAGACGTTCCTCTTGTCAATCGTAAGTCGATATGAGTATCCATGCACATGGCCGTTTAAACGGTGTACTTGGCCTTGGCTCTAGTGCTACCGCTGTGCGCGCTGTCCGTGTGTCCCGAGAACTCGACGACATCAGCTTCCTTCAGGCGTAGCACCTCTTTGAAGCGCCGACCGATGTTTTCGAGGATCTCCTTCCCTTGAGCGGGTGTCCGGCCGTTCTTGTCGCCGGGAATGCTCTTGCCCACCGTCCGTGTCCACAGACCGACACGGTAAAATCCCTTGCGCACGTTCACGACCACACCCATAACCTCGTTGTCGCCATCGTTCTCAAGAGTCTCGCCGATAGCTGCCAGTTGAGCGTGCAGCCAAAGATCATCGATCGGTACGGAGCGCTTGTCTTTGAACGAGTATGACCACTTGCCACCGTGCTTGTTCTGGGGGTCTTCCCACTCTGGCCTGATGCCCTTCTTGAAGAGATGGTAGTCTGCCTTGAGACCCAATTCAGAAGTCGGTGTGATGTTGTTCTATTCAGCAACCCCTAGTCAGTATAGCTCACCGGTCAGGTCTCGATAATGATATGACATACGTAGATACCCCAGAATTCCTCAACCGAATTGAAAGTCACGACCTCTTTCAACAGGTCGTTCCAGTTGTCGCCCTGCAAATCAAACGGTGTTAGCGGGTCTACCTTTACACCGCAGGCTATCGCACATACCTTGCCACTGGGGGGCTTCGTGAACCAGAGAGTCCATTCGTGCATGAGTGGATGCTTCACGTTGAAATTTTCGGGGTCATGGAACACCGTAACAGTGTCGCCATTTGTTTGCTCAGTCTTCTCGGTCTGCTCCTTCTGTTCGGTAGCGGCGCCAGGAGCGGTGTTCTCGTCGTTCACCGGTACAGGACCGTTCTCTGAGACTTCAGCCATTATGATTGTGGTTTATAAATCTGAGAGAAGGAAAATTCGTAAGAGGCTCAGTCGAGCGAACTTTGAGCGCGGGAAGAGAGAGAGAGAGAGATACGTGAGTTGTCGGAGGGGCGAGGAAAAGTCTTGGTGTGAGAGTCAATTTTTGACAGGGTCGCGAGGAAGGAGCGATCCAGAGGCGAAAGTTCGGAGAGGGTAGAGGCGGAGGAGAATCGGCTTATGCGCGGGGATCACGCAGTCGTTTGTTGTCTGCTCCAGGCAGAATCACAGCGGTAGTCGTGTGTTGGCGGTGATACAGTCTGCGAAAATAATAATGATGAAGTTTTGAAGCGTTTGGAGATGCCGCAGCTTCAAAGTGCTACTTTACCCTTTTGGGACTCGCCCCCTTTCTAGGCCTTTAATAGGCTGGCGCCCAGACCTGAACCCTAACAAAGCTAACAAAGAGTTGCTGTAAGAACAGCCATCTTATTTTCAAGCCAATTTTGATGTCAAATGATATCCTAGTGAATCTAGACATCGATCTAGTATAGATACAATTGTTCTATTCCAAGGCAAAAGAGAACCGAATCTAAGGTACAATATGAATGAAGTTCGCAGGATCCCTTATGACCTTGTGAGAAGCTGGCATTATAAACCCTCAAAAAACCCCATAAGGACCAGCCTCATAATCCAAGCATGTAAGAGTCATAAGTAAATATTGCCGCACTTGTACCGAGGAAAATCTAAACTGCGCCCATACGATGAGTGAATGAACCCTCTATCAAACCAGCAAGAAAAAAGAAACCGACCAAAAGATAAATGCTAGGTGTACAAAAAGGGGTATCGTGACGCGCAATGCTCCAAATGGTAAGAACATTATTTCTCGCCGCTGTTGATCAAACTCAATATGCAGTTCCAGCCTGATCCGGACATATTAGCGGAGTGAAAGCGAGAAGAGTGAGCTGGACACAACTCACCTAAGCTGACCACGTTGACTACCAAGACCCGATACTCTAGAGGCACAATTGAGAAGTTGACGCCCTGAACTAGAGGCCAGATAGTGAGGTTCGCCTTGTAACTGGGAAGAAAGCTGGTACGCCATTTCTCGATGGGGTCCGTGCCTTCCATGATTGCCATTGATGTCAGGAAACAGGTTAGGTGGGTAGGAGTAAAGAGGCCTTGGTCTGCGATAACGCGCGCAACTATCGTAGCTTTGTGGCTCTTCAGAACGACGTTTCGTTGAAGGAAGGCGAACCATGTGGTCGCGGCCGGTCCGAAAATCGCTAGATATTCTTGTTAGCAACAGACTCGTGACTAAGAAACGAGGAAGACGGGGTGTTCGTATCCGTGTCCAGGAACTCACCTCCTCCATACAGCGCCATTCGTCCAGTTCTTGCCATGTCGTGCTTATCGAAGCCCTTGCGATCAACTGCTTGCTGCGCCAGAATATCTCCGCAACCAAAAAGCACCTATTCTTCTGTCAACCGAAATCATTTCGAGCGTCGCAGGGAGGAATCATACAGCACTTGTTACGCTGGCCGTGAGGATGGGCTGCTTAGCCAACTTGGTCTGATACCTAGAATAGATCTTAGCTTCGTCAATTGAACGGATGCCGTTTGTATGTAGACGCACCACCGCAACATTTCCGACGTAAGATAGTTATTTGGGAATCCAATTGAAATCGACGGTGTTAGAATGGATTTCAGAAAGAAAGATCCTCTTTTAAAATGGAGAAGAAGAAGGCGACAATGAGAACTCCGAGAAAAAGAAAATCATGGCGGAGCAGATGATAAGTATCGAGACTCTCACCGATAAGAGGATGGAGATTTAATAACCGCAGTGCTCAAACCAGGAAAACATGGACAAATCAGCGCCACGCCCGCAAACCATTGGAGAAAAACATCATAAAGGTGGGAGTCCACCCGTCACATGATGTAGGCCTGATCGGCTTACCGTATTGGGACTACCAGCTAGGGCATAGGGTTACCGCTCGTAGGGCTTGTTGGCTCGCTTAGCACACCCGCCAGCGAAATTTCCCTAGGGCCCAAAACAGCTGTGGATAGCGAGCAAAGTCAACCTCGACGTCGACAACCCCTCCGAACGACACCTCCCGTCCGTTACACCTCTCCCCCCGGTTCATTCTCAATCGCCATCAACATACAAAATGGCTGACGCTCCCCGTGGACGTGGAGGATTTGGCTCGCGCGGTGACCGTGGTGGTGACCGTGGCCGTGGCCGTGGTCGTCGTGGTCGTCGCGGCGGCCCAAAGGAGGAGAAGGAATGGCAGCCCGTCACCAAGCTCGGCCGTCTCGTCAAGGCCGGCAAGATCACCAGCATGGAGCAGATCTACCTGCACTCTCTGCCCGTCAAGGAGTACCAGATTGTCGACTTCTTCCTGCCTAAGCTCAAGGATGAGGTCATGAAGGTACGAAGCGAACAATTCCATTTGCGGATATCCTCTAGAGAGCAATTGTGCATGGCAAATTCGTGGATTATGGGAAAAGGAAATGGTGTTCTCGAATTGATTGGATTGGGCGGAATCTGCGCGAAATACTGGGGTGTAATTGGCAGTTGCTGACGGTTATGAAACTATAGATCAAGCCCGTCCAGAAGCAGACTCGTGCCGGTCAGCGTACTCGTTTCAAGGCCGTCGTTGTCATCGGTGACTCCGAGGGTCACATCGGTCTCGGTATCAAGACCTCCAAGGAAGTCGCTACCGCCATCCGCGCCGCCATCATCATTGCCAAGCTCAGCGTTCTGCCCGTCCGGAGAGGTTACTGGGGTACCAACCTCGGTGAGCCTCACTCTCTGCCCGTCAAGCAGAGCGCCAAGTGTGGTTCCGTCTCCGTCAGAGTACGTTACGATCGAATGCGATAGTTATGTATTGCAGAATATCACATGTCTAACCGCGATTATAGCTTATCCCCGCTCCCCGTGGTACCGGTCTCGTTGCCTCCCCCGCTGTCAAGCGTCTCCTCCAGCTTGCCGGTGTCCAGGACGCCTACACCTCGTCCTCCGGTTCCACCAAGACCCTCGAGAACACCCTCAAGGCTACTTTCCTTGCCGTCGTCAACACCTACGGCTTCCTCACCCCCAACCTGTGGAAGGAGACTAAGCTCATCCGGAGCCCTCTGGAGGAGTTCAGTGATGTTCTGCGCCAGGGCAAGAAGTACTAATTTAGTGCTGTGACGGGTTAAATTTGCATGACTGTTTTTGATCGGACTATTTTCCTACGGGTTCCAACTTTTTCTTTCTTGGCTGGAAGAACGGGGATGCCAGACAGGACTTGATTTCGATCACGTTCAGCTACGCTACTTATGGTGTCCATGGATGTATTTATCACGGGAAGGGAAAACAAAAGCAAAATAGCGTGGAGTCAATAAAGCTACCCATTCGCCAGTCATGACGACGAGCTTCTTTCCGTGAGCAAACATGAGGAATCATCTAAGTGCTGGATCATTGCCTCGTACGAGTAGTGTTTGATCAAGGTCATTGGTTCCTTTCCTAGATCCGAAGCATACTTACCTGCCAACAAGGGCTCACATGTGCGTAGATTGTTTCGACAGTCGAAGACAGCACGATAGCACGTGTTCCGGTAGTACAGTGGTATGGTCACTTTTTCGTTTAACTGGAATATATATCTCCATCATCTCATCCTTTACCCGCACTGACTCTGAAGGATCGGCGTATATAAACCATTATTATCCTGTCTATCCCCTCTTCCACTTTTATATCGACATCTCCTTCGACACAACCTTCCGAACTGCTCCTTGCACTTTTCGTTTCGTTCCCAATCCCTATTATGCTGACATCATGGGCTTGTTCAGTAGTGCTCCCATTCTATCCAGTTTCTATGTTGTGACCGCGGTTGACTAACCTTGTATATTTTGACAACTCTGAGGGAGCAGGCTCAGGCCTACGACCCAACTATATGGCGGAGCCGGAGGTAAAAACGGGGGTGAGGTGGTTGCTGCTGCTGCTTCCTATGAGGCTGCGAGACAATATGAGCAGCATATTGCTAGAAATGGTTTGTTATGTCCTGTCACTGCATCATGCCCCATGATAGGAAGATGTTGATTAGTCTTGGCACAGGTATAACCGTATACTAATATGACCATAGGTTAGCCTGCTACCCACGCTGATGCTATGGAGCTTCTGAAGGACATGCGGGCGCGGCTGTTGACCATCTAATTGAGGCTAGGTGTCTTGACTCTGTTGACCGAGACGAGGTTTTAAGACTCGGTGAGCGTCAACTTGAGGAAGCCTCCTCCTAGGATTACGACTAGTTGTGTCTCAAGACTGGCTATATGAAGGTATTCTCGAGGCGGCCCACAGCGAGCCTGAAGACATTGCTCAATGGGGTTATCATCGCATGTTCCCTAAGTTGATTACACCGTTATGCGTGATGGTTTGTCCCATCCTAGTGATTTGGCACACTATTCTAACCTGGATACAGCTTGAGGTCCTTCGCCTTTATCCCCCTGTAGTGACAGTACCTAAAAGCACGTCCGAAACCCCAAGTCCCCTCGACTATCAAGGCAAGCAGTACCTTTTACCGCCGCGAGTCAACGTCAATCTCAACACAAATTGCCTGCATTATACAGAGGAATACTGGGGCCCAGATGTTGCAACGTTTTCTCCTCAAAGATGGGACGCAAGGAACCAGAACAGCTTTATAGCAAAGAATGCGTCGACACCAGGACTTGCTGCACCTGGCCTAGAGTATCCTACCATTCACAAACCGATAAAGGGGGCATTCATTCCTTTCAGCGATGGATTTCGGGCTTGTCTGGGAAAGAAATTTGCCCAGGTCGAATTCATTGCCGCGTTGTCGGTTCTTTCCCGGAATTATAAGGTCGAATTGAGCCCAGAAGCTCGTAAGGATGCGGAAAGAGTCCTGCGAGAAAGCACCTCAGTGCTGACACTATCAATGAGAGAGGATGTTCCACTGCGGTTTCGGAGGAGAAAGGACTAGCGATGGTCAATGAGGTGAGCATTTGAGCTGAGATTTGAGACGCTTAAGA